GAGCCCAGGGTCTGATGCACGTGCACACTGCCCCCAGCCCTGCCCACACGTGTCCCGGGGGCCGGGCGAGGGCAGAGGTAGGAGCTCCCGCCTGCGCAGGGGCTTGCGCAGTGTGAGCATGCGTCTCCGAAAGGCCATACCGGAGGGTGCAGGCGTGGGCACCGGCGTCCGCCCTGCCTGCCCGCCGCCGCTAAGCACCCGCGCCCTCGCAGCTTCCGTTCTTCAGGGGGCTGGAGCCCGTTGCTGTTGTCCGTGTTGGGGAAGACTCTCTGACTGTCCAGACTCAGCCCGGACGAGCCCTCCAGGCCTCCCTTGTGACACGCTCTATTCCCTCCCGGCACCGCCGCCTCTTCCGGAAGATGTCCTGGGCTCATGTGGACCCTGCCCGCCTCGTCCCGTTTCTACATGGGCGCTGGGTTGTGGAGTAGAGAGTGGGCTGCAGGAAACAACGGCGGGCCTTTGGTGCCCGCCTTGGTCTGCGCGGGCTGCTGTCAGAGACCAGCACAGACCGGGCGGCTCATAAACCAGGCACCTGCCCTGGCCAGTGCAACTCCAGGGGCCCGGCGCCATCCCACAGAGCGGAAGGTCGCTGGTTCGATTCCCTGTCAGGGCACCGGCCTGCGTTGTGGGCCAGGTCCCTGGTTGGGAGTGTGCAAGACCAACTGATCAATGTGTCTCCCCCTCTCTTTCTCCCTCCATTTCCCGCTCTCTAAAAATAAATAAAAACTTAAAAACAAGAAAGAGACATTGGTCACAGTTCTGAAGGCTGGAGGTCCAAGATCAAGGTGTCAGCAGGCTGGGTGGAGAGGACCCGCTTCCTGGTTCACGGACAGGCCTTCTCACTGTGTCCTCACGTGGCGAAGTGCAGAGGCTCTGGGGCCTCTTCTAAGGGCAGGACTCCCATCCAGCAGGGCTCCCTACTCATGACCTAATCGCCCCTCAAACCCCCGTCTCCAAAGACCCGTCCTGCTGGGTACTAGGCTTCAACGTGGGAACTGGGGGGGTCCCGCATGCCTTCCCAACGCAGTCCACGTCCAGAGCCCAGGGAGGGGCTGGTGGGGCCTGACGGGGCTTCGAAGTGGGGCACTGCCTCTTCAGTGAGGTGGCCCGTGAGCATTTTTATAAATCAACTGGGATATTAATATTGAGTAACTTTGGATGCGCATTTTCTGTATGCTTGAGGTTTTGTTTGGTTTTTTGTTTGTTTGTTTTTTTACTGTAAAGACTCGCCTTTATCCCATATATGAATATTCAAAACTGATGCTGGTGCCTTACCGATTATTGCTAATGTATTGCTTGAAAACACGTGTTGTAGAAAGGCAGTATGTTGTTTTCAGAAAAAGCCACCTGTATATTAATAGTCTCTTAATTCTCCTAATTATAACAAATTTCATCTATGGGGAAAAAAAGATAAAAAGGACAATGTAGGCACATAAAGGTTAATATGAGAAAGTTAAAGATTTTAGCCCTAGCTTTCTGTAGTGAACGCAGCTTTAGAGCATAGAATTGACCAAATTAAAAAGTGGGTATTGGCAATATGAAGGACACATACAATGAACTTATTTTTTTTAAAGAACAAAGGATTTCTTGGTCCACAGGCTGAGTTTTTGACACTTTAAACAATAGAGCTGCCAGGTATGTAGAGAATGGTACATCCTCAGGAAGAGACTTGAAGACGTTTTCCAGACTGGAGCTCACGCCATGTCTGACTTGCTCCTTTTTATCTTTTTTTGTGGTCAGAGTTTACAGAACACGACCCGGTCGGGCCCAGGCTCTTGGTGGACTCGTGCAGGCGAGTGGACAAGAGCAGACATCTTGGCAAATGTGCGGTTCACCTCATTGCAGTTTCTGTTACGGAAAAGTAGTTTCACTGTTTACCTCTGAAATGGTCCTAAAACCCAAACCACGTCAAAGAATGTTTTATTTTTAAAATGGTTCTCTTTTATCACTAATAAAACAAGTGCATTTGTTTAATTTGATCTACCTTTGATCTCACTGAAACAATATTGACTAGGCTATTTTCCAAATATGCATATTCTCTGTCTCCCCTCCCCTTTCCTCTCACTACTTTAGAACTTCCAGAAAATGCTTTCGCTAAAATTAAATGCAGTGTTTCCTGCGAGTGCATTGTTTCTCACTGCTCGGCGGGTTGCTTCCTGTGAGCACCTGTCTGCGTTGTCTTCGAGGTGCTGCAGAGCTGGATGTGGACATGTGCTTTTTCTTCGAGGGGCAGAGCCCAACACTGACAAACAATCTTGACAACATAGAAGGGTTCTTTTTCTTCTTTCTCTCCCAGGCATCCATGACGGACCTCTAGGAATGCTCAGATATGTGGGGACACGTGAGCAGAGGAGCATGGGAAAGTTACATTTCATTTTAGTAACATTGCAGTCCTAGGCCAAGAGTAGGAGGTTAGAACATCATCCCTTAGACCAAAAGGTTGCGGGTTCGGTCCTGCTCAGGGCCCCGGCCCTGATTGCAGGTTTGATCCCTGGTCAGGGTACGCACAAGAGGCAACCAATCAATGTCTCCCCTCCCCACCCCCCTTTCTTCCTTTCAGATTAATAAACATATCTTGAGTGAAGACTAAAAATAAAAAAAATACATTGCGGATAATAAGATAGAGGGTTCTACCTTCCCTTCAGGCTGCACATACAATAAATACATACAGTACAATTTCATTGTACTTTTTTTTAATATCTGAGGTCCTCATACTTATAACTAAAACGATAAGATACGTGCTTTATGCCTGTGTTCCTTGTCCTGCCTGGCGAATGTAATGAAAGCCATGAATGCCCTGTGAACACAGGCGAACCCGCCGGCCCTCGCAGCCGAGGCCCCCAGTGACAGACCTGGGAGCTCAGGAGGCTGGGCTGGGCTGGGCTGGGCGGACACGCTCCGATACACGTCGTGGCCGACGCACCAGGAACATGAGCTGGTTCTCTAACATGGAGAAATGGAAGTGTTTTTCCCACCTTCCGGCTAAGGCTAGGCAGTTGCCTGTCCCTCTGCCCTCACGCTGTGCCCCGGTGGCCTGTGCCTGGCCCTTTCTGTAGAACTCGGTACCAAGTTGGCTCCTACAATCTCAGTGACGCGGCTCTTTCCTTAAGCTGGCAGCTTTTTCCTCACATTTACATAATGTTTGTCACAGTATATTGGCGTTTGTTTTGTTTTCTTTTTCAGTTACGGTTGACATACGATAGTACACTAGTTTCAGGTGCATGGCAGTGATGAGACAGTTACATAGGTTATGGAGTGCGCAGTTCTTTATTGAACAGCCGATTTCCAGACCCCCTGTCTTGTATTGAAGGGAACAAACGATGATCATGGCTAATTTCATCATCCTCTTCACGCTACCAAAGTACATGATTCTTAGGGACAACATGCTAAAAGTGTAAACTTAGGCCGTGCTTCACAGCAATTTTCATTCACTCTCCCTCTCCCCACTGACGCAGTCACTCACGTGTTCTCACCTCTTGTATTCCTGGGATCCACCCTCTGAGGCTCCCTCACCCCCCAAATCAGGGTTCCGCTCCATCTCCTAATTGTCTTACACCCAGCTCCTCCCTTTTGTCTTCATTGCTGTAGCACACCAATCTTGAGCTATAGCAGGATCCTCCCGTGATCCAATACATGTGCTAAGAGCTTGTCAGAATGTCACGTGGAGGCGTCCCGCAAGCCTGGGTCAGGTCCTGGACATCTCTGTTGTGATACAAATAAGCCGATGTGCAGCCCCCATGGAAAGCCGTGGACCTAGCCGAGGCAAGAGCACAATGAGAGAAGCAAGGCCTGACGCACGACAGCTGAAATGGTAACGCGACCCTGTCGCTGTCCAGCGCCAGCCCAGAGCAGCCGGGACCTGGCCGGCAGGAGAGCTGTCGCCCGGGCCAGGCCCGACACGAGCGAGGGCGCCGTCCGTGGTCAGCTCACGGCCACGCTGCCCCGCTGGTCGTGTGGGGAGTACATCCTATGAGATACAAAATGTGTGGGTAACGTGACCCTGTTTCTAAAAATTATATGTGTGCACACTCCCACAGAAAAAACCTGTGGCTTGGAATATATACCAAATTATTAAACAGTTGTAATTTCTGGTTGGTAGAATTACAGGGGAATTTATATGTCCAATGGTATATTTCCAAAGCCTTTAATTTTTTGTGTTGTCGTAAGCATGTTTTTGTTATGTAAGTAAAGGAAGTATTTTAAAACTGTTACTAAAATCCACCGGAAGCATAGGGACTACAGTCAGTAATAATTTTAGTGACTTTGTACGGTGCCGGGTGGGTACTTGAAATACCAGGGGAACCACTTTGTCAAGCATTAGATTGTCTAACCACTGCGCTGTACACTGAAACTCATACAAAACAGTATTGATTGCAAACTGTAATTGAAATAAAACAAACCTTTACACTTCCAGTCAACAGCAGCCGCCAGCACGTCAGCCGGCAGCCCCAACGCACCCGCGCCCAGGCGGCCCTTGCACGGGCCTGCTGGCTGGCTGCCCGGCGGGCCACACGGGAAGCTCGGGGGGTTTTTCCTCTGCTGCCCCCGCCCTGGGGCGTCTGGGACTGGCGTCGGCACAGGATCTCCATGCCCACGTCCTGTGCCGTTTGCTTCCAGGAAAGTAAAGGTTTTGTAGGTATAGGGTCTGGCGCGAGGAACGCCCCTCTCTTATTACAAAATCGTAAGCGTGTCATTCAGCAACAAAACAATGTCACACTTAAGCCCACCATGTGACATTTTAGGTGAAATGTGCAAATTAAAACTATAAATCATTCCATCCATATTATTGCCCTATGAACCACATTCAAGCAGGCGTTACTTCTGCCAGACCCTGTGTTTGTGTGTGCGCGTGTGTGCGTGCGTGCGTGTGTGTATATATGCTTACATGTTTTATTTTTAACGATATAACCTTTCAAAAACCGTATTAAAATTTGTTTCTGTGGGAAAAAATGTTTTATATTTTTGACTGTTTTTTGTTCCTTCTCTTTTGAAACCCCTAGCCAACAAGAACATTAGTCATGACAAGCATGCCGCCTGAGTAAGTACTCACTGTTTTGATAACTTCCTGCTCACTGTCGCATTGTAGCCTGTGTGTCACGTCCTGTAACGCTTTGCCTCGCGGCCGCCCGTAGACCTGTACTGTGTCGCTGTCACTCGGGGTAACTGATGCCTGAGGCAGCTGCTCGCGGGAATTTGGAGGACGTTAGCAGACTGCAGCCGTTGCAGCACTGAAGCCTCCCCGAGTCGTTGGGCCGCGTCAGAGGTGTGCGTTCAGCTCCTCCGCTCCCCGGCACAGCTCAGTGTGCGTCGCTGCCTGAAGCATTCCCCACCCCCACCCCGAGCTCTGAAACGCTCTGCAGCGTGTGCAGACGGCCGCCTCCACGTCCCATGGGGGTGTGCGGAGCTCACTGCTTGCTCTCACCGTCCTCCTTAGACCTTCCACGCGGTACTTCCAGCACGGCTAACAAAAGCACAGCTCCATGTTCTCTGTAACGGATTTTGAATTCCTGTTTGCAGGGGAAAACCATGTTGCTTTATAGCAGTCATAGGTTTTGAGGGTTTCGAGCTGTTCATCAAAACACTGGGACATTTGAATGAAAGATGAGCTGCAGAAGGCGCGCACGCCCACCTGTGGTCGAGGGCGGGACCCTTCTCCTGCCCGCGGCCCGGAAGTGGACCGGGCGAGAGTCCGGACCCCGCCGCTCCGCCGGGAGGAGGGTGCCCCCCAGGCTGCGCGCGTGTCTCCAAATACCTCAGATGCTCTCAGGAGTGTGTCACGGTAATGAACACTGGATACGCGGGTGCTGTTTCTAAAAGTCTAGATTTTTGCCTGACATGCGGAGATATTCACAGCTACTTTCTTCCGAGGGTTTGAAATCAAAGTTCTTGTTTAGGCCTTGCAGTCTCTTTATTTTCCCCCCACGCATGCTTCTTGTCTAAAGTGGGGATAAGACCTAGCCACGCTGCTGTGTTTGTTTTTAGCTCAGGGACCAAGTCTGGCCCTGCCAGCCGCTTATTTGGCACAGGCTCCCCGTGGCATTGCGCCGGCCAGGCCCGTCCAAGGCGGCACCATGAACAGGCCAGTACAGGGCTAACGTGCTCCGAGTCGCGGCCGGCTGGTGCCCTGTCCTCCCAGGCCAGGGGCGCTGAGCGGGGCGAGGTCGGCGTGTCCTGAGGTGCGCCTCTTGTCCGAGGAGGCTGCAGGGACAGCCGGCTTGGCCCGGCGTCCAGCTGCGTGCTGGGGAGCGGTGGCTTCGGTGATGGCTGGAAGGCTGGCTGCTCTGAGTGGGCCATTCCGGGGCCCGTGTGGGGCCTGTGCCTCTGTCCCCAGAGTGCCACGCCGCCGGCAGCAGCTGGCCCTCCCCACCTGAGACCCCACGGCGCCTGAGCCGCCTCGGCCACGCAGGGCAAGTGCCGCAGGGCCTTTGGAGAGCCCCTAGGTCAGCCAGGCGCGCCCTGCCCAGGCCGAGGCTCCCACAGTCCTCAGACTCCCAGGACCCGTGGCTTCCATGTCCCCTGGCCACGGTTGCTGCTCCAGGAGCCGCGACGGGCGCCCTCAGCTGCTGGTCGCCTTTGGCAGTGGGGCCGCTGATGCCCTGTCAGGCTTGTTTCGTTCCTGCGTCTGGGCCCACTTGGGCTTGGTTTTGTCTTTACTGTAAACACGTGGATTTGAAATCACATTGAACCAAAACGTAGCACGTCTGAAGCCGCATTGATGAGCCATATTTTGAAAAGAAACTTATTTGTTAGCATGTGTGGATTGTGGCTGGCAGCCGCCAGGCTTGGAACCAGCAGAGTCACACATGCACAGAAATGGAGAATTCCAGAGAGCTTTAGCTTTTCGCTTCTTTCTGCTTGGCTTTGCTTTGCTTCGCTTCGCTTCACGGCCCCCACCCAATTTAATATTTCCCTCAACTCCAGAAAGCGCAGGTCTCAGGTTGAAGTAGCGATGGGATCCAGGGCTCAACCCATTTATCTTCTTTCTCCACGGGGTCTCTGAGAATTTAAAACTGTGACGTAGCTCACCCATGTCATGGATAGGCAAAGAGACAGGTCTCGGGATCCACAGGCCCCGCCAAGGTCGCGGGAGGTGAGGCTGAGGAGGGCCGCCACCCGGAGGGCGGGAGCGCCCGTCTGCCCGAGCGGCTGCAGCGGCCTCATTCCGCCGCCTGTCGCTTTTGGAGAGGGGAGAGTTTGTTCTTTAACCCGCCGTGTGCGTCCCGGCGTGGTTCGGGAAGCCCCCCATGTCTTTGGATCTCCCTGGGGTCCCAGGACACACCTCAAGGGCAAGGGAAAAGTCTTGTGTCAGAACGGAAGGCCAAGGAAGGGACACAGGAGGGATGGGGCATCATTGGGGAAGGAAGTTACGTTGGAAAAAAAAATTTTTTAGAGGTACTGAAGACATGAATGTAGTGACAGAGCAGAAGGTAAACATGACAAGCTCTGTGGAAACAAGGAGCCTTGGTCACATTCGCCCTCAAGAGTTGATGTGGGAGTAAAATGACAAGGACCTTTTCCTCCCCTTTTAGTACAAAACTGTGTGTTCGACTCTCCATAAATGTTAGATTTTCCCAGGGAAGGGTGCAGCTGAGAGCTTGGTCCTGACCAGGGGCAGACGGTCCGGGGGGGTCTGAGAAGGGCGCAGCTGCTGTGCGCAAGGGGCATGGGGCCGGGTTGTCGGCCGCGTCCCCCACAGGCCCGGACGGGGGTGGTGAGCAGGCACACTCTCCGCCGCCTCCTCAGCCGTGAGAGCAGGCGGCCAGCGTTGGGAGCTGAGGCTCTTTTCCTCCCCCAGGTTTCAGGCTACGGATCGCAGAGACATCACGGCAGGAGCGCCGTAGCGGAGGTCAATGTAGCATTTCAGCGTTCTCAGATTTTTAAAAAATTCCGTGTGATCACATTGCTCTTCATAGGTGGAAGCATTTCTTTTGTTGACTCTCTTCCCCGTTTGACAGGAAGCAGAACATCGTCATCCGGGTGGTCGCCAAACTGAAAGGCTTCGCGGTGGCCCGTGAGGTGTGCGAAAGCACCACACACGTGCTGGCTGGGCGGGCGCTGCGGACCCTCAATGTGCTGATGGGCTTGGCGCGCGGCTGCTGGATCCTCTCCTACGAGTGGGTAAGCTGGGCAAGGGCGCCGGCCGCACGGCCGCGGTGTTTCCGGGGCGCCCGCGGGGGAGCCACGCCGCGCACGCCCTTGTTTAGTTGTGCGCTTTCTCATGGGCAGCACGAGTCCCCCTGAGCCTCCTCCTGGCCCGTCACTGCGGCCACCACTTACCCCCGGGAGTGGGGCGCCGTGGGGGCCCCTCAGCCGCCAGGAGAAACTGGCTGAGAGCGGACTGGGAAGGAAAACCACCATGTGTCTTCTCACAGTCACACGCACTTTCTGTGTTTGGGAAATAACGTGACCCGTGTCAGTGGTGGTTTCAAAAGCTCCAAAAATTCTGTGATTGTTTTTACAGATGGATTTACTTGGGATGAAACATGTACATTTAATCCCATTTGGATATGTTTTATCTCATGCATATCTCTCTGTAACATTACTTGCCCTCATTTCTGTGCATTAAAGGTAGTTTTTTTCTTAAATCATTGTTTTCATTATTCATAAAAATTGGATTTGTTTGTTACTGTTTCTATTTTTGTTTGCTCCTCAACCCCTGCTCACCCCAGCCCCGCAGCCTGGTGAGAGAGGGGTCCTTGGTTACTCGTGTTACTATTTTGCTTCTGCAAAGTGTCCACCCTCCTTCCTCCTCCTCCTGAGAATGTAGCATGGTAACCCGGTGTTACTTTAAACCACTCGAATTGTGACATGCAGACAAGCTACCGATGCGTTTTTAGGAGTGGCTGTGGTCTGGCTCCCGTGTCATGATTTAACCCTGCGGCTCCCTGGTCCAAGAAGCAAGTGTGAGACATTAGCCCTAACAGGCACCAAATGGAAAAGGCGAAACTGCCCCGGAATGTCCTGTTGGCATCGGTGGCAACTGGGGATTATCACCTAATTGTATGTCAGCGCTGATCCCCAGGGACTGGCATGAAGTAGCATGTTTGAGCGAGTCCAGCTTCTGTGAGCGAGCGCCCTGTTTTCTTTTTCTCCAGTTCCAGTGTGTCTTCATCAGTCAGCTGTTCCCTCCCTCATTTCCCGGAGGAGAAAATGTTCTCTGTCCTTCGTGGCGATACCATCTGTACTTGGCTCTGCGCCCACCCTGTCCTCCGGGGGCCCTGAGCCGGCCGGAGGGGTCAGACACCAGAGTCGCGCCTGCTCTGCACCCCCCGGCGCCGCCTCGTTCTGCTCGGGGCCCTGCCAGGGCCCTGCCGCTGCTGATAAGGGGGAAGGGAGCCGGGGGCCCGCCTAGCTCCTGCGGGGGTGCGCGGCGCGAGGTGGCGGGAGGTGACGCGGGTTACTCAGTGACCTTCCGGTGCTCAGGCAGGATGTCTGCTGGGGGAGGGACCGGGGTCACACAGCCCCATAAGTGAGCAAGGGAAGTGCAGGTGCAAAAAGAGCAGGGAACCAGAGGCTTTCAGGCGAGAGTCGGGGGATGAAGCTGGGTTTGTGGACAACGCGGGTTCTGTGGGGACAGCTGCATGCAATCTACCGAAAAGCTCTTAGAACCAGTGGGTGAGTTCAGCAGGCGTCAGCATGCCATAGTGTGAGGTCGACCTGGACATACGTAAACATAAATCTGACCTAGTAACACGCACAGAATCTGTGTGCCGAACATTACAAACACTGGTTTTAAAAACAAAGAACTGAGAGACACGTTGTGTTCGCGGATTAGAAGGCCATGTGGTTGGAATGTGACTCTTCCTCAGAATGGTCTGTAGGTTGAGCATATTCCCGACCAAAATCTCAGGAGACTCCTTTGAAGGCGCGGACAAGCTGATTCTAAAATGCACACATAGAGAGGCAGTAGCTAGCACAGCTGAAGCAGTTTTGAAAGGGAAACGAAGGTAGAGGACTGTCACTCTCTGCTTTGAAGGCGTCCTTCCCAAGGCAGTGCGGTGTCGGCAAAGGACAGAGTGGACCAGAACGGACGATCCGGGGAGACCCATGCACCTGCGGCCGCAGGTTTCGACAGAGGAGCAGAGGACTGCGGCCCAGAAGGACAGTGTTTTCCACAAACGGCACTGGAGCTCATAGACCCCAGCCTGAAGTGTGAAATGAAGAACTCTTAGAGGTGAGCACAGGAGCAAGCTCTTTGTGTCCCTGGTCTAGACAGGGAGCGCTTAGATGCGGCCCCAGAAGCAGGACGTGTAAGAAAAACCGCCTGCGATTCCCCCAGATTTTTCCTGAGTTAAGGTATTACAGAGACAAGGAGAAGATACCTGCAAATCTCGTGGGACAGCGGACTTACATCCAGAATGTACTCTCAAGGCAAGAAAGTAAGAAACCCAAACAAAAATGGACCCAAAATATTTTTAAACTCTTAAGAGATACAGTTGGCAAAAAAGCACCTGCAAAGATGCTGAACATCATTAGAGACAGACAGCTTTCAGGCACAGTGAGAGCCCACTGCACACCCAGTAGTCGGCCGCGTTACGAAGCAGAGCGACGGTCCCTGCCAAGGGTGCCAGCCCCTGGGCTTGCTCCCTCCTGCGGCGGGTGGAGAGCGGCGCGGCCACGCTGCACGGCTGTTTGAAAACCTCACAGGGAGTCAGATGCGCACGAGTCAGCTCACCCCGCAACTCTGCTCCCAGGTCACTGGCTTGAGGGAGAGGCCGGCTTGCGCTCACCCCGAAACCTGCGCCCGAACGTTTGTAGCGGTTCTGCTTGTCACACTCACGCAAACCTGGGAGCAAACACCTGTCCCTTGGCGGTGACTGCACAGACAAGCTGGCCCACCCACGCAGTGGGTCACTCCTCGGTCGTGGGAGCCAGCGATGACACCTGCTGCCTTCCAGTGTGTCCCAGGTTGATGGCTTTTCATCGGTTTGACTTCATAAGGATGAGCTCTTCAAACTTAGGAAGACCCAGAAGGAAGACAGCCCCGGAGGGGGCGGTGCTGGGAGGGATGCGCCCAGAAGCAGGGAGCGCCCAGGGTGTCCCGGCCTCCAGAAGCAGCAGAAGGCACCGCAAGGCTGACCCCTTCATGCAGGACAGCTGGTCAGCAGAGCGGGCTCGTTGGTTGTACACAAGGAGAAAGGCCTTTGAGGAACAGGGCACATTAAGGAAAAAAAGACGAGAAGCTTACAGAGAGGATGGAATCAATTGCCTTGGGTCCCCAGCCCTGTGAAGCTGTCCATGCTCCCCGTGATGAGAGGCCACCGGGAGGTGCTGGCCGGGAGCAGCCCCGAACCCCCCGGCGGCGGGGGCAGGGAGACGCTGTGGGGCCTGGGGGGGGGGGAGCGCGAGGACCGAGGTCAGCACAGCCTGCAGAAGCCCGCGGCGGCGCCCCTGTGTTAATGCCCACCTGAGCGTGCGCCAGGCCTCCTGTCGCCGTTTCTAAGTGGCACGTTTTGGGTACAGTAGTGATATTATCTAATTCATTTTGTAAAGGCGCGAGCCCTTTATTTATTTGTTTTCTTTACTTTTCAATTACAGTTCACGTGCCGTGCTTTATATTAGTTTCAGGTGGCACAGCACTGCGGTCGGACAGTCGCACGCACACAGTGTCCCCCAGGTATTTCCAGCGCCCACCTGGCACCACGCTGACCCTGCTTCCCCTGCTGCGCCCCCGTCCCGCGGCTGTTCTGCAGCAGCCGGTCCGTCCTTCTCAGCGCCTGCCCTCTCCTACCCGCCCCACAGCCCCCGCCCCCCGGACGCCCACCAGTCTGCTCTCTGTGTCTGTGCGTCTGTTTCTGCTTTGTGTGAGTGTTTACTCTGTTCTTTAGATCCCACATGTGAGTGAAATTATATGGGATTTGTCTTCCTCTGTCTGACTGACTTCCCTCAGCATAGTGCCCTCTAGGAACCAGTGATTTTTAAATTACGGTAAAGCAGTCGCCTCAAAATTTAATATTTTTCCTTTACTGAGCCACTAAGTAAGCCACAGCTCTTCCATAAGACATGACCTCCAGCAGGTTTATGCGTTTTGTCTGCATCTCATTTGTTTGCCTCCTTCCTCTGGGAAGACAAATCAACAAAGAGCACCCCGAGATGAAGAACAGCGTGGATGGTGGTTCCTACCAAAGCGGTCACACTGGAACACGCACCGCACATGAGAGACGCATGCCTGGGTGCTCTGCTTAGAGGTCCCCCCACCGCGCGTCATGTACGATGTCCAGATCTGTACCTTGTCGACATCAGGGCTGTTTTGCAGCAGGAGACCCATAAAACTAGAACACGAGGCCCAGGCCTCTGGTGTCTTAACAGTTAGTCGGATACTGTGGGAACAGTAAAGGAGGACAATTCGGGGCGGGACAGTTAAATGCAGAGCTCCCTGGCTTTCCGAGACTCGGGGCCTCAGGTTGGGAGCTCACTGCCACCCCGCATGATGCGAGCGTAGACTGCCAGGCGGCCTGGGCGCGGGGAGCTTCGAGCCGGCGGCCCCCGTCCCCTCCTCCGTGAGAGGGAGCCCGAGGCCATCCGTCCCAGGCTCGTGTGGCCGCTAACCGTTCACATGCACAGTGCTCAGGCCAGGGGCAGGGAGGAGTGACAGCTTGTAAGATGTTAGCCTCACACGGGAAACAGCAACATATCCGCGTGTCCCCGAGAGCTGTGGACATCGAGTGCCGTCTGCTGTCACCTTGGTTTCGCACACAGGGGACACACTGGCCCCGAGACCCTGGGCCCGGCCGGGGGTGCCGCGCTCGCCCCAGCCCACGAGTCTGAGGGAGCTGTTCAGTCGAGCCATCCTCCCGCCCCCGCCCCCGCGAGGAATGGGCGAGCAGGGGGGAACCTAGGGCGGTCTGGCTGGTGCTGTCGGCCTGTCGGCAGAGTCCCGGCGTGACGCGAAGCACTGCTCTGGGGGGCCCCGCAGGGCGATTCTCACAGCCGCCCTTCCCCGCACCCACCAGCGCTGTTCCTGCAAGTCGCCGCACTCTGAGTTGGAGAATGACGGTGTTGGGGTTCATGTCTGTGAAAGCAGCACCTGGCACTGGCCTCCGATGGTGCCGCAGCTCCTGGGACGTGGGGAAGGACCAGATGCTGCTTCACGCCAACCATCTGCCAGCCCTGTGACG